ATTACTGTCCTGGAAAAACAAACTCTTGTAGGAGAAGTGTGTTGGGCCCATGTGTTGCTTTTTCTTTTGAAGTTACCTTTCCTTAATTACTGCTTACATTTCCAGCTTAGGCGCTTCTCAGGCTACGAACCACCATACTTTCTTCAAGAACAAGGAAACTCCCTAGCATGTGATGGTTGTACTCTCCAAGCTACAAGATTTTTGCCTATAAATTGAGAGCCATTTGGAAATGGTAAAGGGGTCGAAAAGATTGAGAGAGAAAAAGCCTTGAACCCCTGCTAAAATTCCAAGAGTCCAAAGTTGCAAACACAAAATACAAAACCTGTTAACTTTTGATTTCTTGCATTCAAACTCCGTTTGTTCTCAAGTATTTCTTAGCTAAAACCATCTACACAGTTTCTGATTCACATATTAGAATCTATCCTAACTTCTGTGTTCATACTGTAATACACTCTCCATCCATCTCCACCTCAAAAAAAGTCAGAACATTACCCCTTGGCTGTTCCAGAAGTTGAAAACTTTCAGTCTGCTGAGTATGTGAAGAAGCTGCTCAGAACATCACCAGAGTTTAGGACCAAACTCCAGTTCACAGAGTCTTTTCCAGCTGCAGAGTAAGTTTCTGCTGACTCTCATCATATTACTTAGGTATTATCAGATTTGCATGTTCAAAAAAATACAATGTAGACATCATGTTTCTGAGGCTGTACGTATTCTGAGGTTTCACGTATTTGTGCGCCTAAGTAGGGAGTAAATTAGTTCAGAACTTCTTAAGGAAATTAGAATTAGCAAATTCATGCTTGCCTCTGATTTATAGTTCTGATACCTCTTGTTTCTGAAACATTGTGAAACCAGCCATAACTGTTATATACGCATCTTCTGTTCTATTAAGAAATGACTAAGTTGCAGATGTTCTGACTAGCATGGAGAGGGAGACCAAGTTCTACCAGTGGTATCAGAACTTCTGAATCTTATTTGTTTCCAACGGACCCAGAACTTCTGACTTTACCTATTTTTACTAATATGATCTCTATTTTGCAGTACGCCAGAGTCAGATCTTCTGATCTCCTTTAGCCAGCAATACGCTGATTCTATTTTCTTTTTCCTTACTATTTTTGCTATCACTTCTTATTTCATTAATCAAAAACACCAAAAACATTTTTCATTTTTACATGCTTTATTTTATTCCTTAAAACAAAGATCAAAAAATATTTTTCTTAACAAAACTTATCTCTTTTCTGAAACAAAACAAGTTCATTTCACATTTTCTTGTACATTCTTATTCATTCAATATGGTTGTAATAGTAACTTAGGATTTAATTTTATTTGCAATCTCCATTTGTAAATATGTACCCTCATCCCCCTAATGCTTGTAATATACGTAGAATATCTATTTTCTGCACTTTTTATTGCTTTCATATATTGTTAGTAATTAGGGTGTGTATGGCAAGACATGAAATTAGCAAGTAGATAACCCTAATCAAGACTAAAAATGACATGCAATCAAGCATACTTGCACACTAGCATCATTAGGTAATCCCACCTTGTTGCTTATCGGAAATATAGTCATGTCCCTCGAACATGGGTGTTTTAGCAAAGACCCTCGATAAAAGATCGTAGTCCCTCAATGACCCTCGATGTTGCCTTCGGTAAATGATCTAGTCCCTAAACAACATTGCTAAAATGTCCCATAGGTTGCCTTCTATGACTATACAAACATCCCATGCTCGTCCCTTCACATCCAACGATGGGGCTTCTCACCAAAACAATGGTAAGATAGTAATATCTAAAGGAGGAGGAAAAGAACAAATAAGACCTTTTGAGTAGGTAGGTTTGTTCCTAGTTGCTCGCTTGCTCACAATAAAACATTTTTACACCAACAACTCTCATTTGAAATATTTTCAAAAGACAAACACTTGGTACGCGTTCTTATAGAAACGAGAGTCATTACAAATAAAACCCTCTTCAAAATCACTTTCAAAAACACATTCCACAAACACCTCTTTGAGCTATTTTCAAAATAACACTTTGTATGCATTCTTATAGAGACGAGAATCATTACAAAGTCACATTTTCAAAATACTTTCAAAACCCACATCACAAGTACACATTCAAACAAAAGCAAGTGATCTAGCAAGTAACTAAGAGCCCATGGAAAACCATGGATGAAAAGGGTGCTAATACCTTCCCTTTTCATAATCTAACCCCGCCCGAACTCAAGAAATAATCTCAAAGGTCTTTCCTGTGCTTTTTCACCTTTCCTTTTTGGATAAAAAAAAAAGTCGGTGGCGACTCTTGCTAACCGCAACATTTGTGATCAAACGCAAAATAACCAAGTCAGTTCTCCCACCATATCATAGAACTGGCGGCTCTGATGATGAAAATTCTAAAAGTGGGGTTACCTTAGGGATATATCACATTTATTTGCTTACATTGTTTGACTTGTATGCTTTATATTATGGTTCTTTGTTTGGGTTTGAATCCTCTACCCGGATTTGGGACACCTTATAGGTACAGTAGCAATACATTGTGGAAACTGTGTGGGGTATACCGACATGGTCTAAGCAATAGCTACGTTAGTGTGACATATTTGTGGGTACCGGTAGCCTTTGAGTTAATCAAGAGAATACGGGGGCCGCTGAGTGATATCATGAAGCACGAATGAACTTCTAGAACATTTACTTGACCAACTTAGCCTTTAGGATGTAGTGAGATGATCGGCTTTGGTGCAGTCTGGAGTTGGTAGATACTCGATACTACACTCATTGAGGTTTGGTTTCTTGGGATATTTCTGGTTGCCATTAAAGAGGCTTGAGCTGAAACAATGACCAAGGAAACAAACCAGTGATATTGAGCTCCTTAGAACTCGGTTACTATTTGTGATACGGTGGCAGAACCGACTGTTTTTGGAACGCTGGTTTGCGTTTGTTTTCGCAAAATGTCGCGGCAAGCAAGAGTCTCCACCGTCTTTTATTTTATCCAACAAGGAAAGGAAAAAAGCATAGAAAAATTCCTTTTTCGAGATATTTCTGAGTACGGGGGGTAGATTATAGAAAGGGAAGGTATTAGCACCCTTTCTATCCGTAGTTATCTACGGGCTCTTAGATACTTGCTCATCATTTTCAAAATGTTTTCTTTGTGCTTATGGGTTTTTGAAAAGTTTTGTTTTTAACTTTGATTTAACTCTTGCGTCTGTCTTCAAGAGTGTAATGAAGTGTTTTTTGAAAGCTTTGTTTGAAAAGGAGTGTAAGTGTGAAAATTTTATTTTGTTTTGGATGAGCAAAGTATCTAAGAACTATCTACCTACTCGAAATAAGGAATCGTTCTATGCTAATTTCCTTTAGACAATGTTATCCCGCTATTAGTGAGTAGGTAGCATCGTCGTTGGAGTTTGAGGGTCAATTTGAATGAGGGACTTACGGTCACTAAAGCAATGTTAGGATGCCTTAGTGGTAACCCTAATGTCTTAGATCATTTGTTTGAGGCAACAATATCCGAGGCAACCGTTTCGAGGCGACTATGATCTTTTAGACAAGAGGACGACCTCTAAAACAACTTATACTTAATGACCGTGTACGAAAGGCAACCAAGTGGGGTGTACCCTAAGAGTGCGCATGTGCGAGTGTGTCGTTTTCAGTTATTTTTATCTTTGCACATGTTAAGGGTGATCTAATTTGATTTTAAGATTAAACATTCAGTCTTGTCATGCAAACCCTATTATTAAACATCTAGCAGTTATAATTAGCAGAAATTAAAGGTGCGGAAATTAAATTACAAGGCGTCGAGTATTTACATCGCCAAAAGCAACCCTTTGAAAATAAAATAAAGCGATAAGATAAATAAATGGTCCTAATTATCTATTACATACCGGAAGCAGATACATCAATATGGATAAAAAAATAAAGCGCGACGCGAAATTAAATCGAATGCGAATTAGGGTTTTGACCCTTTTTAAAGAAAATGCTTTTTTTTTGTTTTATTTTAAGAAAAGAAACTAAGTCCTAAATTAAATACTAAATTAATTATTAAATAAATTAATTAATGAAAAATAATTAATGACATATTTTTGGAGTTTTTATTATTTTAAGAAAGAAATTAAAATGATTAAATTAAAGTTAAAACCTAATTAATTCTAATTGATTTTATTTATTTACAAAAATAAATTAAAGTTATTCTAGAATTAAAACCTAATTAATTAATTAGTATTTATTAATAAAAATAAAATTCTGAATTAAAAAAAGTATTTTGGTGATTTTTGGTAAAAAAAAAGGAAATTTGGTTATTGGTTAGAAAATAAATTAAAATAGAATAAAGCAATTAAATCAATTAAAAGAA